TTATACACAGCTGCTCTTTCATGAGGGAGTCGGGACTATCGACATGAAGCATTATTGAGTATTGGCTGAATATAGGAAGACCTGCGGAGTCGTTATCAATTCATCAACAATCTGCAGTAGTTGGAGCGGTCCGACTGCGATAAAGGTCCACTCAGAACAAATAGAAAAGACCCATACATCAGGCCCTTAATCAGCAAGTTTATCTTTGCAAGCGTACTAAACTATACTACACTACACTAATCTCGCAGGAGAACTAATAATAACTGTTGTTTGAAGTGAGCATATCGTAAAGCAGCGTTATTCACCAGGTGACTACTCCGACATTTTATCCAAGTGATCTATTACGCCATCTTTCAATTTGGTCCTCTTTTAAACGTTTAGGCACTCAACTATGTTTCCATTTTTACCCCTCGCAAAAGACGAACAATCACACATGGATTTTGTTTTATAGGCAACCAGCGTAAAAGCTAACATGTGATATTAACATAGAGGCACAATCATTAAGAAAGCCTAAGTACATAAGCAGCAGAAATCAAAAGGTCGAGTTGTACAATAACAATGAAATCGTCAGATTAGTGAAAGTATACACAAAAACCACAGAGAATGCTAACCGATTTCTAGTAAACAGCTGACGCAAAGCTGCGAAGAAAAAAACCAAAAACTATACAGTCTCATACAACAAAATGCAACAGTCTGTAGTTTATAATAAGGAATTAAATGATAACACGTATCTTTATAAGCAACCGACAAGGTCACACAGGCAGAAGAAGCAATAGTATGATGGAATCGTAGAAAACATGTAAATTGGAGAACAACGATGAGTTAAATGCTAAACTAACGAGTGATCCTGACGCAGTGATATTGAGATTAGATAGGGAAATATAGCAGGCTTCGCGCTGCAAAACAACAACTTTTGCACCTGTATTTTTCTAGGAACGACTGAATTAACAGGACTGATATCTTATCACAGGAAAGCGAGGCAATTTGAGAAAGCGCTCAGAGAGGCGAATTGATCTTATGTCAATGCTGTCCGCTACCACCAGGTACCTCTTCATCCTTCCATTTATGACGCTCATCTTGATAAACATCAGGTCTTAATTGAGCGCGAAGACCTGAAAATCAAGGACTAAATATTCGAAGAGTACATTATGATATGGCCAGGACTTCTAAGGTTACTATAGTCCAACTGGAAGGAACAAACCAACCTCCTAAAAGCTGATAGCCAATCTGCGTGCTGACAACAAGAGGACGGATAAAAGTCTTCGGTGCAACTTTGAGTACGCTACGGAAAGACGACTGTCCCGAAGCGCGATCTTCTTGTGCTGCTAACTCTAGGTCGTCACGAGTTTGCCGATAACCCTACATAGTCAAATATGGGTATGACAAAAGTTAATTATGCAATAAATTTTGAGATTCGCAAATTAGCAGACGTAACCCACATCTGACGCGATATCGTACGCTAGCTGCATTCCATGGCGAAGATCAGTTGGTGCAGCTGCCCTGGCAGCCACAGCTCGACGATTTCGTTCATTCAAATATGGAGCTGTTGGCTGCACTTCGCGGAGTACCGATTCAGCAAGCATCTGTAACTTTTTAAAAAATTCTAGTACCCATCTCAGGTCTGGTCATTTTGGTACCTGAATCACGCCAACGACTGTCTGTGCCATTCCAACTACTCCAGCCGCTGACGAAAGACCAAACGATCCAACACCTTTTTGGATTCCTTTCACCACATGACCATCTTCTTTTCGTAATTCAGCAACAGGAAGCCAGAAAAGGTCCATCACACCTTTTCCTGAAAAATGCGGTAGGATATCTGACAACTCATGCCATATCCTTTCTAATCAGCCAGAACACGCGCTTAGGAAATAGATTTTAAATGGCAATGGAAAATGGCACATACTCACCAATCTGGACAAAGGGGCTTATTGGCCCACAACTGACTAAAACGTTTGGAAGGTTTGATCTTATGTCGGACAGCCACTCTTCCACAGCTACCTACAAAAAAGATAAACTGAAATATAGTCGAGAGAAGAAAAAGAAACTGACATTGACGCAGCGCCCCACTC